TTCATAAATTCATAATATATGTACTTCCATAATGTAAACTACACAAGAGTTGCATATAAAATGTATAGGAAGAATTAAAATAGGTATTCTTGAAGATAAGAAAATTTCTTTAAATAAAATTAGATTTTCATTAAAAGCTCACTGCATGTTGGTAGCTGGTTCTCGTTCCACTTCTTCCTCGTCAGTGACGATCACAAACGTCTTCACCACTTCCTTCCTCTGGTAAAACGGAAGTAGCGCTGCCGCCGGACACGTACCCCCCTCCGCCTTTATCTCCATCGCTAGATTACACACTTCTTGGACTGTACTAGGAATATATGGGGCGGGATGACTTTTATGATCGAAGAAGACTAATTTAGCAGATGTGATGACAGCGAGGATGCCGCCAATGATAGAGCTGGTGCGGATGGCTACATCCATCGACCCGGACTTGTCTCCTAGTATGACAACCGGCGCGTCCAAGGAAAACCTGACATGTACATTATAACAGAATAATATGATTAAATCTTTTCTTTTATTCTTCAAGTCTATCATATCTTTTAGAAATTTGGTATTTTTTATTTCTAGATACTTGTACCAGGTACGATATATAATTAACCAAGCATTACATATTCTTTCCACATGGCAGCGCAAAATGGTTAAGTACTTAGTAGCTCAATTTGTATATTCTGTCTCAAATGAGCACTTTCATCAGTCTTTGAAACCGATATAAAATAAAAAATTAAATATTTTTAAAGAAAAAAAATCAATAAAAATCTTTTGAGGCTTTACTCGGATACCTTTTAAAAATTAATTTTTAAAATCAAAATGGGTTACTTTATATTTGCAAGACGCTCCTGTGCAAGCTCTGAAAGCTTTGTGGAGAATTTTGCGATGTCGGGGTCGGGAGTGTACATTATTTCTCCTGGGCCCTCCGCTAGAGCTTCCCAGTCCCAGGACTGTAAGATCCGCACCATTTCTTCCTCTGCGTTCAGTGGCTCGCCTGCCTGCATTAACCGGAGCATGAGAATACGTTCCAGGAGCTTTCCAAGCGCCAGAGTGACCGGGTCCTCTTTCTGTAGACGAATTTCTACCTCCCTATCTACCTGTGGACATTTCAGTTCCTCGTAGTACCTTAATTAAGAAAAGACAATCTATTTGAAAATTCGTTTTAAAGAAATTTGTCAGAGAAACGTAAAAAATATGTTTAGTGGAAAGTATAAGATAAAAACTACGTCATCTCAAATTTTCTCCGTTTCGCATTACATTAAACTTGGCTATTATACATGTTTTTTGTTTCATAAATGAATTGACTACATGTAAATGTATTGAAATCATAAATATTAAACCAGGAGTTTCATTAAATACATTATATCAGTGACGGGCACTGGAAGTTAATGTAAATATATAGTATGTGTATGTATAAAAAAAGAAGGGTAGGACACTCTTTTTGAGGCAAATTCGGGTTTGGGGTATTCTAGGCCTTTCTCAGAAAACTTGACGCGATTAATCGTTCAGATGTAACTTACTTTAAATATATTTACTATTTCGTTCCGCTTCAATGCCGTCCCTTCGAAGGAAAAGATGTTTTTATACCCCCAAGTGCCTAAGAATTTCGCTAGACTGCCTTACTTCCGCTTTATCCAAACTGAATAAAAAGGTAAGTTCTGATTGGTCAATGTCATACACATATTTTATATACTATACTAATATTCTTCATTATTCTTAGAAATTATTTGTGAAAAGGCTAAAATATATAAACTGCAACTAACTCTTCAACATACCATGACAAATAAATTGTTTCTCGCTTCATGTATATCCATCTGTCTAAATGTTATTTTATTATTGACTAATCAGAACTTACCTTTTTATTCAGTTTGGATAAAGCGGAAGTACGACAGTCTAACATCATACAGGCAGAGAAGACGGCTTTTAAAACATCTAAAAAGAAAAAATGCTACAAAACAAAAGTCAGATGGTCCGTGAATGTTGCTATGGCAAGTAAGGAATCAAAGATTGCCCACAAGCGGTGGAAAGATGCAGGAAGACCACAAGACCATAATCATCCCCTCAATTTACTAAGGAAAAATGCTAAACGGACCTTCCGTAAAATTCAGAGGCAAGAATCGGCCCTCGAAAGGGTTAAACTATACAACAAGATAACAGAAGCAAACATCAATAAAGACCAAAAGTTATTCTTTAAACTAGTCAATAAGCAGAGAAACAAACCAACAGATAAAACTGATCATATCATTGTGGAGGGAGAAGCGTACCATGAATATGACAACATAATTACAGGATGGCAGCTCCATTTTGAAGATTTAGCAAGACCAAAGGAAAAGGAATCCTTCAATGAGGACTATAAACAGACAATAGGCCATAATCTACTTATTATTGAAAATATATGCAAAGCCAATAAATCTCCAACCGAAAAGATATCTGAGGAAAAAATTAGAGATATTATTAAGAACCTTAAAAACAACAAAGCGCCCGATGCAACAGGCCTTACAGCGGAACACCTTAAGATGGGCATTGACCAGATATCCCCAATGCTTACTGACATTATTAATGCCATACTCCATACAGCTGAGGTACCGACAGGACTAAAACGGGCATTCTGACACCAGTTCTTAAAAAGGGAAAAGATAAGACAAAGCCGGGAAACTACAGAGGAATAACAGTGACACCTCTAATTGGGAAGGTCCTAGAAACATGCTTGAGAGACCAACTGGAACCTATTTTAGATCCATCACAAAATGCCCTTCAAAGAGGGTTCACATCCGGAACCTCCCCACTGATGGCCGGTGTCGCATAATATTCGTTCCGGGTATTTCACGTTCCGGCCGGAACCTTAAAATCATAATATTGGTTCCGGATTTTACTGTAACATAGGTTCCGGCCATGAGTTCAATATTCGAATCGCGGTATCTGTCCAGATTTCATTCCACATTGAGTCATGGAATTAGTGGGGGTTTTTCTTGAGGTTTTAGCATCACGCAGCGACATTCTATTTTCGTGCATCGCGCAATGCTTTGTACTTAGCAATTTTAAAAAATAGATGAATAAATAGCCAGATGATACTCTTTCTGATACATATGACTTTGGTCCCATTATAAGGCTGTGTTTATCTTATATATACAAATCGGTCATCTACAACTCAATTCCTTTTGTTTATTTAGTGCATGCCAGGTGTGAATCTCTCGCTTCAATGCACGCAAACCCGTAAAGACAGGTTAAGAGCATGGTTAGGAGATAAACAATTTAAGACCGGGTTTACGAAAGACTAACATTTAAAGAAACACAATGTCAAAGAATTAATTAATTGACAAATTTTTTATTTCAGAATTCGATAAAAGTAAAGAACAAATATTGATAATTATATATTTACGGAATTAAATTCTCTGTTTAAATGATATTACACGTGTTGACAAGTCGAGGCTCAAACACGGCTTCCATTCCTCATAATTAAAGATTTTTTTCATAATTAGATATTATTGATGAAATGGCATGATATATGGTTTATATTCCATTTGAAATATGTATATGAATCACTGTTGAAGAATGTTACGTATATGGTTTATTTTCTTCTAAATTAATCTTCATACTACATGTAGGTACAGTACAATCATGTATTTCATGATGATGTGATTTATTCTGTAATGAAATAAACATGAAAACATAAGAATACGAGTATGGTTTATTCCTTTAATACCAAAAAGCCAAGCACATGTAGTTAATGAAAATGATAATTTTTTTAATCGTCGGAAGAAAAAAAATAGTAAATTTTTTGAGATATGAAAAGTAAAGACAATATATGTTGACTGGCTCGGCTTTTTATTTAATCCGATCAAAAAAAAATTTTTTTTTTTCTTTTCTTTTCTTTCGTCTTCTTTTTTTTTTTTTTTTGCTATTTGTGTGTTTTAAAGGAATTAAAATGCACATTAGTGTTACCTCGAGGAATGTCCTAACCACCAACCGCTTAAGATATGTGGTAAAAATAATTATTTCTGCATGGGTGTTTGAATACATAAAACACGATGAAGTTGGTAAAAATATGATCGTTTTATACATGCCATTCATAGGCGTCGGAACCGGAGGGGGTGGGAGTAGGGAGGCTTAGCCCCCACTTTTTTTTTGCAAAAAAAGCATAATATAGACATCGTACATTGGGGCGAAGGTTTACCCCCCCCCCCACACACACACACACACACTTTTTCAACCGACACGTTGCAGTTGAGTTTAAAAAAGGGTAAATGGTAGTGTTTGGAAAAAATACTGGCACTGGAAGAAGTTCTATCATAACCCCCCCCCCCAACCCCAACCCCCACGAAATAGAATTTTCGTGTTTAGACAATTGACACATTTTCCTTTTTTGCTTGTCAAGAATTTTTTTTTGTAGGTTTGATTTTTTTCTTTCACTTAAGCCCCCCCCCCCTTTCAACTTGCTTCTGACGCCAATGTCATTATATTGAAATAATCTCAACTGCTTCGGAGAAAAAATATTAAATAAATACATGAAGGTTAAAAAAATGTACATTTACACAGGTGCATGTAGGTTAAAGGTAAACTGCAATAATGTTCATGTAGCTGCGCTACGTGTTTTAAAAATCTCACCCCTTCTCCAATTTAAAAGAAAATGGAGATTATATTTCAACAGCCCCACAAAATGAAAAGTTGTTTATCAATATTCCAACATTCCCCCTTAGTCACTTAAAGAATTTAGTTAAAACAATCGAATTAAATTTTGATCCACTCGCATACTCGCTTCCCTTAGTGTAGCTACTAGCGAGTATGCAAGCAAATCTAGCATCTAAAACCATATTCGAATACATGTTTTGTATAATCATATATGTGACCCCCCCTCCCCCCCCCCAAAAAAAAAAATCAGGTTTGGAGACGATTAAAGTTTTTATTTTCCTTATTTATTAAGAACATTTCTGAGTTAGTACTTCTTTATTGGGTGTATCCCTGTTCCTTTTTCCAGAAGCATGTTTTAATTTAAGACTGACATGTTTAAGTATTTTTTTTAAATTCATTTTAATCGATTTCTATTGCATACATATATCTTTCGCAGATTAGTCCATTTTTATCCAAGTTTTGTGTAAAAAAAAAAAAAAAAAAAAAAAAAAAAAGAGATTAATATAATAATTTGTGTACAATCTAGTTTACATTTAGCAGAAACACAAAAACGGAGCTACATGACAATATACAAGTAACTTTTCTTTCCATAGTTGTTTGTATTATTGGATAAGTATTTTAGAAAAGATATAAGGCATACATGTACCATCTTTTCTTGTTCTTTGTCCAAGTTGATCAACAAACTCTCTCTCTCTCTCTTCCACGAAGAGGAAGTCACCGCTATAAACTTTCTTCAATTTTTTGAATATGTGTTGTTTCTCTGCTGTTTTTATTATTTACATCGGCTTAAACCAATAAATGCAGCAGATTGGTTTAGATCTTTTGAATGTATCCCCCCCCTCCCTCCGTTTTTGTCCAAATAAAAAACAATAAATTGTATATTTTTATCTACTTGGAAAGGGCTTGAATAAATCATTTTTGACGTTTTAATCTTTAAATGCATACATGTCAATGAGCGCATTCTTATTAACTGTTCTCTCCATTTCTATTTGTACAGGTGTATACATATATTCACACGGTATGATGTTCATAAATGGATTTAGTTCATTAAAGAAATCATTAATTTACAGTATATAGTTAATTTATTTACACAAAAAAACATTCTGAATTGTTTTCCTGACACCAGCGTTTCTCAAAATCACCTAAGATATGACAATGTCCGCAGTCATCTTAAAGTTAGGACTAAGATCAGGAGGTCTCCTAAGATAGGATAGCTTCGATGGCCTCACTTAAGACTAAGATATGTCGTAAGTTCGTCTTAAGAGATGTCTTAGTCCTAAGATTCTTCATAAGCATGCCTGCAGATTTTCATTTTAAATTAAGATTTTACATTCCCATCGAGTTCTAGAGCGGAAATACACGTTTTATCAGAATTAAAGAGAAACCTTTTCTTTTTTTCCAAATAATTATAGTTTTTGAAAGTTCGTAAAAAAATCTATTATATCTATAGGAAAAGCCATTCAAAGATGTCTTTTGAAAAATCAGGAAGGCGATAG